GGGGGGGGGGGGAGGGTAGCTTCTGCGCCGTTGCCGATTGCCGGATCCGACTCTGACCGTGGGTGTCTTCCCCTGGTCCCCCTCCGGGTGGGCCTCCCGTTGGATGGTCCGCCGCAGTCCAGGCCTTCGTGGCGCGGTATGCGGGGCCGACCTTTGGCCGGGAGCTGGCCGACATGGCCCGGGTGCACCTGGTGGATCCGGGCACCTGCGTGCTGGGCAATGCGACGCTGGGGCCGGCGCTGCGCCAGCGGGTGTTGGAGCTCCTCCGGGACCCGGACCGCAGCCCGAACATCCGCCTGCATCTCGGCAGCCGCGTGGTCCGGGTCCTTGGTCCGGGCGAGGCCGACAGCGGCCCGGGGCCCGGCGGATGTTCGGGCCCGCCTCCGGCCAGCGGTGCGGGGGATGGAGATCGCCCGGGGGCCCGGGCGGACCAGGCCATCCGGGTGGTGCTGCGTCCGGCGAGTGCACGCGATGCGATCGCGGCCGGGGCCGAGCAAGCTGCGGAGCGGCATCTGGCATGCGGGCTGCTGATCTGGGCCGCCGGCAACCAGCCCGCGGAGCTGGTCCATTCGTTGGACCGCTGTTTCCGGCGTGAGCCGCGAACTGGGCGTCTGCTGGTGGACGGGTGCGTGTGTGAGAGAGAGAGAGAGTGTATTTTGTGTATATGTGTGTGTATGTATGTATGTGTGTATATGTGTGCGAGTATGTGTGCGAGTATGTGCACATGTGTGCATGCATGCATGTGTGCATGTGTACATGCATGCATGTGTGCATGTGTACATGCATGCATGTGTGCAAGTATGTGTGTATATACCCCCACATGGAGCCGGGCCCTGGATTGGATGGATGCCGCGCGTGCGATATACTGACCGGTCGCGTGGGGAATGCAGCTTCCTGCGAGCCGTTATGGAGCCGGGCGACGCCGAGGGCGACAGCATGGCCCCGGCGGTGGATGCCAGTGGCGAGGTCATGGCCGGCGGGCATACGGTCGACCGGGGGATCTTCGTGGCCGGCGACAGCGCGGCCCCCTTGGACCCGGCGGCCGGGCCTTGGCCCATGTCCGCCCAGCTGGCCAAGCACCATGGGGTCTACCTTGGGCAAGGTGCGCAGGCGCCCATCCCGGGCCCTTTGCCGGGGCCTTTCCCTTCTCGCCCCTGCTCCGGTTGGGCTTTGCTGACCGATGTGCGCCATGTGCCGATGCAGTGTTCTCCTCGTACGCCCGGCGGCCGGGCCCCTTCCGGTATGTGCATCGGGGCTTCCTGTGCGGGCTCGGCACCCGGCGCGGGCCCTGCCAGGAGGCGGTGGTGGATTTTGTCACGGTGCCGGGGTCGGTGGTGGCCGGCGGCGACGCGGGTTCCGGCGCCATGGCCAGCCCGCCGGCCGTCCCCGGGCCGCATCCCCCGGCCGACATGGCATCTGGTGGCAGCCTCCCGGCGGAAATGGCGCCCAGTGGGGCCTGCCCGGCAGCGGCGGCGAGGCCCCCCACGGGCCGGCTGCCGATCGGCATGCTGGCCGGCCGGCTGGCCGCCTGGGTCTGGTGCTTGGCCTATCCGGCCATGGCGGCCGGCTTCAACCTCGGCTTCGGCCTGCGGGTGGCGGTCGATCTCCTTCGAGGGATGGTCGGCAAGTCGCACGACATGGACCGGTAGCGGGGATCGAGCCTCTTTGTACTTCGCCGATACCACCCTGCCATCTCTGTTCACGGGGTGAGAAAGGGGCGCAGGCGGCAGGCGCGGCATTCGCCGGAGGTCCGGGCGCGGAGGTCCGGGCGCGGGCTGTGATCGAGTGGCATGCAGCCCGAAGCGTGGGCAGTAGCGTCCGTGGGCAGCTTGCTACCGCCGCGCGCCATCTCCGCCGCGCGCCACGCATATCCCGGCAAGCCGGCAGGCCGGGGGAGGGAGCGCCCTGTGGGGTCCGGGCGTTGCCACACTCTCGTCGATCCGCTGGGGCCGGGGTGGGGGGCTCGCGCAAGGGGGAGCCCGTTCACGGTGTTGGTCTTGGGACACGGGCATGACTTGTGCTGTTACGGCACAGCCCGATCATCCATTCTCCCTCTCTCCCCCCTCTTTTCTCCCTCTCTGTCTCTCTGTCTCTCCCTCCCCCCCCCTCTCTCTCTCTCTCCCCCTCTC